AGGATTGGTTACATGGTTTCGGCCTGTATATGTTGGATTTATGCATGAAGGCCAAATCTGGACATACCAGCCTTCTGTGGTTGCTAGAGTCAATGCCTGTGTGTGAAGGGGGATTTGTCCTAACTCTCAGATTTCATTGTCAGTTCCAATATGGCATTCATTTATATGTCTATGAAATGCAGTTATTTCCCTGGCAAAAGCAGAGTTTGAAAATGGCCTCTGATGGCTGACAGGATAATGGCATCACCATTCAGCTTGCTGGCCAATCTGCAGTTACGTAATTGAGTTTTTATTGTTATTATTATCTTCTGCCTTTCCCCACGTAGTTCTTCCCCAAAATATTGCCAGACCTTTAAGGTGGGCATGTTGAAATCTTCTCAAGAGGAGGATGGAAGCGGAGAGTCTTCTTCCACCAGCTAATGTCACTAGGCTGGGCTCACACTGTGTCTCTTCTGTCTTTCCTGATCAACCTGTTGTTGCCTTAATATTTGAGGGTAAGATGTTGGCAGTCCTTATTTTGAGGCCTCTTAATTGGAACCAGTCCGGTAAGTGGCCCTGGCTGTCAGCTTCCTCCTCTTCAATCTCATTTTGGCCTGTGTAAAACTTAGCAGGGAAGAGGATGGGGACCAAACTAGAATGAGCTAGCCCAACCTCTCATTATCGTTGGCTGCCTTGCTTTCCGCCCTTTTAGTCTCATTGGGAACCTGCCAGCACTGGGGTGACAGCAGGGACTGAGGGGTTCTCTTTTTCCCTGCACAACTCTCTAGGGAATCTGGAAGGTAGATGGATTGGTTGAGATCAGGAGGCAGAGAACAGCATCCAGGGAGAGGAATTACTAGATCTGAGTTGAAGGTGAAGCCATCAGAGATGTGCTTGGACTACTGCAATGTGCTCTACATGGGGCTACCTTTGAAGGTGACCCAGAAACTACAACTAATCCAGAATGTGGCAGCTAGACTGATGACTGGGAGTGGCCACTGAGATGATCTAACACCAGTTCCAAAAAACCTGTATTGGCTTCCAGTATGTTTCCGAGCACAATTCAAAGTGTTGGTGCTGACCTATAAAGCCCTAAATGGCCTCAGCCCAGTATACCTGAAGGAGCGTCTCCACCCCCATTGTTCTGCCTGGACACTGAGGTCCAGCGCCAAGTGCCTTCTGGCAGTTCCCTCACTGCGAGAAGTGAGGTTACAGGGAACCAGGCAGAGGGCCTTCTTGGTAGTGGCACCCACCCTGTGGAACACCCTTCCATCAGAGTTCAAGGAAATAAACAACCAACTGACTTTTAGAAGTCATCTCAGGGAAGTTTTTAATGTTTGATGTTTTATCATATCATCATCATCATCATCAATTCTGTTGGGAGCCATCCAGAGTGGCTGGGGAAACCCAGCCAGATGGGCAGGGTATAAATAATAATTTATCATCATCATCATCATCATCATCTGATGTCTTGATCGTCTCCCATGCCAAAGGAGGAAAGAGAAGGAAAAGGGTGGATAATCTGTGGACTTCACGTTGTTTTCATACTTCTTCTCCCATCAGCATCAGCCAACATGGACAATGGTCAGGACTTATAGGAGTTGCAGTTCAACAATTTTTGGAAGTCCACAGGTTAGCCAATCCTTGCGTACACAGACCCTGCTTATATTCCTGCTGCCAAATTGTTTTTGTACATGACAATGAAACAGTCACACACTGACAAAACATAACATAGGGCTGGTGTGACTTATAAGATCTATTTCAAATTCTGGTTTTAGGCTAACAGCAGAGAAGCATAAATAATAATAGTTAATTAATACTTCCCACATGTGATTTGCACAAAATCTACAGCTTGGGGATTTGCTGATTTATACTGTAGTCTTCTGTTCCTGCTTTGTAACATCTGCTAATGTATCCTTTGGCACAATGTACTATGTACTTCCATACAAGCCCCACTGAGATGAATGTGTGCTTGCTAAACTCTCATTGATTTTTTTGGAACTGGCATGGGAGAAGATTCCAGTGGATGGCATTCACAATATTGACTAGCTTCACCTTCAACTCATTTATATTTCAGGTCCCTAAAACTAAATTGTTAATTTTGGATAACAACCTTGAAAACTGCAGTTATTATTCCGCATATACTCTGAACGGCCATGCTTTCCGGGGCAGATATGAAGAGAAATGCAAATTGCTATCAATATTTTAGTATTATTAAAGTTTTCTGGGGCTCTCTACAAAGGGGATTTTAAAATTGCATTGTATGCACATGAGTCTCCCACTCTTGAAAACTCTCGCTGCCTTTGTCCTGCAGTCATTTCCCAGCTCTGAGCTGTATTATTGTTCTATATCAATATGATGACAGTGCTGTCAGATTGGAGAATATGATCTCACTATTCAAATGACTGTCATGGCAGGAAAGCCAAGCTAAATTGCCCAGTGAATATTCCAGACTTGATATCCTGGGGATATCAACGGGGCAACGTTTTGCATAGGACTGTGTTAATTTTTAAAACCTTGCCGGTGTAATTTTTTGTGCTGTGGCGATCCAAATTCTGAAGGGATCCCATACCTTAGCTCTGGCTACGGTTTCACATGGTAGTACTTTACTTCCCAGAAAACATCTCCTAAATCACAGCAAACATTAAAGGACAATTTTTGAATCCTTATTGCTTATACTGTGCATATAAAAGTGGGAAAGATGAGAGTGCAATTCTAGAGACTGATTCTAGAGCGCCGATAGGGCTTGGACGGTTCCAACACTTGTTAGCTTTTCAGTGCCAGTTGAAAAGCTGGCTTTTTCAGAAATCATTCTCTGTTGCCTAGCTGGACATCTTTAATTGTTGCTTTTCATTAGGATTATGGAATGTGTTTATTGGGTGGCTGTATGTTTTATTGATGCTATTTTTTATGAATTACAAGTCACACCTGCAACAAAACTGTTGAGTGCCCCGTTTAAACAAGGTCCTCCAGTGTAGACTATACTAAGCTAGATATACAATAGCCTTTCTTAGTATAAGACATAAGATGCTGTAAATAAGCTACAACCACGGAAAGTTTTGTACCTGTGAAGGTTTGCAAATAATGGGCAGAGGTAATGAAACCCAAAGATAGTCTTCTTTGTTTGGGTATTTAAGGTGGTGGTTCCCAAACTTGGGTCTCCAGCTGTTTTTGGACAACAGTTCCCATCATCTCTGACCACTGGTCTTGCTCACTAGGGATGATGGGAGTTGTAGTCCAAAAACACCTGGAGACCCAAGTTTGGGAAACATTGATTCAAGGTATTCTTACAGCACAAAAATAATTTTCCTGTGGGGCACTAGTGTGCCCAACACATTTCGAGTGTTTTTGAGTTAAGGGTTCAGAACTCCTGCAATAGTAAGTTTAATGTAGAATTATTCCTGTAGCTATACCCGAATATATCAAAACTGCATAGCTTTTTCAGATACGTATTAGCTCTTCAGAGTAATTGACAATGTTGGAGCCATACTCAAGAGCACCAACTATTTAAAGAACAATTCTTACAAGGTGTTTTTTTTCTCCTCTTCAGGGTTCTTCATTACAGCAACTGTTGCTTCTCTGGTAACACTTCCAAATTATTGTTTTCTAGCAGTATGTTACAGGGAGTCAAATATAATACATGTTAGAGGAGAGCAGAGAAGTAAGAAAATCCCTGCACTCATCTTGTCTCTTGTGAAACACTGAAACAATGAAGCTGAATGGTAACACAAGGAGTTGGAGGTTGAGTTGAAAACACAATTTGGGGCCTTGACTTTCATTCTACTTATTCTTCATGATATGAATCTTAGTATTTGGGGCCACAATATCCAAAAATACTGACGATTAGATCACAGGGTAATTCAAGTTAAATAACAAAGCTTTGCAAAAGGACCTTTTTTTTCTACAAAGGGCCTGTGCAGAGAGCAGAGCTTTTGAAGATGAATCCAAGTGGATGGGTGCCTTAACAACAACAACAACAACAACAACAACAACAGTGGCAGTGCAGCAACTGTGCCAGCAGGACTGGCCTAAACCAAATGGCACCCCAAGGTGGCATCCCTCAATTTGTTCAACTTTTGGATATCTTTGGATATCATCTTTGTGGTATTGTTATATTGATGTTTTGGTCTCATTGGCCTTGTGAACAATTTTTAGCATTATTTTGATTGAAAAGTGGAGTCGGCTGAGTGTGTGCATGTACTGCGGGGGGTTAGAGGAAGGAAAAACCCTGCCGCATGAACATAAGTCTGCTCATAATATGTTGGATTGCTGTTCTGTGTTTTGGGGCCCAGTTTGGCCAAAAGATGCATATAAATTCCAACTGTGTCATCTTGTGCATGTCTACTCAAAAGGAAGCCCCACTGAGTTCAATAGGACTTAACTCTTAGGTAAGTGATTGCGGCTTTAGCAAAATTAAAAAAAAATTCATTGTTTGGCAATGAAGAGCTGGTAAGTAACATTTTAAAATAAAATTAATTAAGAATTAAGTGAAATTTAAAAAGGAGCGTAGAAACGTATTCTGTGAAGTTTCACCAGTTCTACCAAATGGATTTGCTTCTGTTTGTCAGAACTGGGCCTTAGTCCCAGTTGAGCATGTGGGGAGCTCAATCCTATGGGAAAGGGGTTCACTACAAGGCAAACCAGTACACAGATCATTTGACTCAGAGCTCATGTCCTAGGTCCTAGAGGATGATCATGACATCCATGAAACAGCTGCTGCTGCTGCTGCTGCTGCTGCTGCTGCTGCTGCTTCTTCTTCTTCTTCTTCTTCTTCTTCTTCTTCTTCTTCTTCTTCTTCATTTGCCACAGAACTTTCAAGGTCCAATGACCAGTTGTTACTGAACATTGAAGATGGCTGATCTGTAGAAATGACTTTACGATCTGAAAACAGAGACAATGTATGTACCTTGCAACCCCCAAAAAATCTTAATACAGGTTTTTTTAAAAAAAGAAAAAAAGAAAAAAAGAAGAAGGTGAAATTCCTCTGGATGTTAGCCACCGATTTGTACACAGCATTGCAGCAGAACACGGCTGGAGTCCATCCTGCCAGTCAATCATTAACTGTAGGCAAGTAAAACTATATTGCACCAATAAATTAGGGTATAAAGCATTTAATGAAAATGTCTGAATAATATACATAAAGGCTCGCTGTGGTAATTGCATAGATCCTGGAGGTTAATTACAAATAAATTATTAGATGTCCCTTGAGCTTTCCTGACTATTGCAAGAGGACTCTGTGGTGAAATCGAAAGGGCGATCTACCATCATAAATGGGTGTTATAAACGAATGCATAAATTAATTGGTCTGTTTAAGAATCCTATTAAAAAGAGATGGTCATCTTTGGGCAACCGAGAAGCCTTTGGAAATGATGGCAGGTTAACTGGGATTATGTGTTGACACTACTTAACTATTTGCACAGTGCTACAATCCTCACAGAAGCATAGAACTAGGAGGAACCTTTGACGTCTGCTGATTTTGCCCCCTTTGCCACGCAGGATCTGCAACACTGGGTGGGACTTCAGCTTCAATGGTTGATGACTCCTCCACCTCTTGGCACTGCCACCAGCGGGAGGTTGCATTTGACATGTAAATTCTACTCAGTATTGATCCAGAGCAGATTCCAATGTTTAGTTAGCAGAGTAAAAACTTAAACACGTTGCAGGATTCCCAAAAGATAGACGAGAGGCAATTGTATTTCATCCAGCAGAGCTTTATTGCTACTGAAGGCAAATGAGCATAATGGTCACAAATCCAATACATTCGAGATTGGCACTGTCCACAAGAAATTTAGTTGCAGCAGACTTATCTTAAACTTAACAAGAACTTATAATAAGTCTAAGCCTTAACACTATATACAGAACACCACACCAGAAGGGAAAGAGATAGAAAGAGAAAGTGAAACCCAGGCACCTTCTGGCCTCTTATTATAGTCAGCATGACCTTGACAGAAAAAGACAACAGAACCAGTTTAACCCAGCTGTACTCAGCTTCTCTGAAGGAATAACCCAAACATCATGAACCTTCTTGTTTCTTTCACACAGAGAAGCTTTCAGAACCCTATTGAGTTAATTAGAATAGGAAAGACCTCTACAAATCAGATCAATGCTAACAGATGCAAACTGACAGCTTTGATCCTCATTCTCCTCAGTGGCAGGAGAAAGAACAGATTGCTGGAATTGTACCACAGTTGGCTCCAGGGTTTTCCAAAGTTGGGCTTCCAGCTGGTTTTGGAGTACAGTTCTCATCCCTGACCACTGGTTCTGCTAGCTAGGGATGATCGGAGTTGTAGTCCAACAGCAGCTGGAGACCCAAGTTTGGGTAACCCTGATGTAGACCTAAATGCACCTTTTTGCAGGGTCTCTGGCATTTTGTTGTATTTTTGCTGGCGCTGTCGTTCTTTGTGTTTAATTTCTGGTAAGTTAGGGGTAGTGGTTTTGTTTTCCTGTGGGATGATGCTTTGTTGCTATTATCTGATAAGACAGCATGGGAAATGGATTGTTGGATGTGTTAATTGGCTTTCAGTTAGGCTAGCATTGGTTTGCATTGTTACAAAAATGTGATTTTTGCTGCATATACTGCCATTTCTGTAGGTTGTGAACTGCCTTGAGCACTGTAATGTAGAAAGGAGGTCCACAAATGAAGAAAACAAAACAAAGTGAAACCCATTCGTGTACTGAAAATTCTGGAACCTACGAAAATCAGGAGTGCATATCTGGAATATAGTTGCAGATGCACACTTATAGGAGAGGGTCCCATTGACCTCACCAGACCTTAGTGCTATGTAAGCACAGATCAGATTGTGCTGCCTATGACCTAGGCATTCCCTCAAGAGGCAGCAAATACTTTCCTGATTGGTATGCATGAGCATTGCTAAGCAGCTTCCTAATAAAGGATGGGTCCAAATCACAGTCAATCTCTGCATACTAACCATGGGGACTTTGATGTGTTCGGAAATGCTGTTGAGCAGCTGAAACTTAAATAGGAACTGCTAACAGGCTGTAGCATCTGAAAGGTTGCCAGCAGCAATCCTTAGTACATCTTATCTTCCCTGACTAATTTGTATGACAACGTTTATTCCCCCCCCCCATTTAAAGCATTCCCCATTTTGGAAAGTTGTTTTTGTTCTGGTAATGGGTTGCTACTGTTCTGTGGCTGCTCAGCTTGTTTGAGTGATGTTCAGGCTTGTGGTTTATTATTTTCTTTCAGGAGAACAGCCTGGAAATTCTCACCAGGCTATGATGCAGCAGAAACTGGCAATTGCATCTTGCAAATAAACGGAACCAATTCATCTTAATAGAGGGTTTAGAGGAGAGATCTGAGAGATGTTGCTGTAGACATGCAACTTGATGAAATATGGCACTGTATATGAGAATATCTGGCTGACAGTTGGGCAGCTAATCCCTAAAAAAAAAATACTTTTGAGTTTTATTGAAGATACATGTCAAGAAGCAAAGTTAACACAAGGAGGGGGGGGTAACCAAGGACTGAAGAATCCAAAACAAAGCTTAAACGTGTGGTGCATAACCCAGGATACAAGTACGAAGCTGCAATAAAAGTAGATGGCAGTGGAGAAACTTCACCTGTCGGGAATTTGCAACTGGATCCACACCGATGTCCTGAATATGACAGATTAGAGTGGATTAAACTGGCAGATTCCAAGTTTCCATTTTGTGTGATGGTGTAGTCATGCTCTTGCTGGCTGATTCTTCTTGTTTCCATTCCAGTTGCGTTGGGTAAAGCATAAGCCTGTTTTTGTACCACCAATGTGACACTCACTGTTGTTAGACAAGAGCGGTCAAGCCCTGAAGCATTGTCACTCCTTGTTTACAACTCTCCTGTTGGTACAGGACAAGTCAAACATTCCAATCTCCTTGACGTTTCACCATTCCCAACAATGAGGTTCACGGGACCCTCATCCACTTGCGTGGGAAACATGAAGTTCAGAAGCTGTGTGAAAGCCTTCAGAGATTGTGGGCCAGCTCTTGCTCTCAGGACCACCCTGCTGGGAATCACTTCCTTTTGCAGTAGGACTTGTAGTGACCTGTGGAGTTTTGGAAACCTGGTGGGACAGAAAGAGGACAGGTGGGGGGGTGGAAATTGAAAGAGCTAAAATGGACAGAGCAGTGGAAGTAGGATGAAGTCCTCTGCAATCCATCAGTTCTTCATCAAGTGTTAATGGAGAGGGAAGGAGGGAGAGGGAGAGAGAGAGATTATGTAATGCTGCAATCTTCACTCACGTTTGGTTCAAGCTTTCTCAGTTTTGGTTCTGGCCCTTCCTGCCACCAGTATAATAATAATAATAATAATAATAATAATAATAAATACATTTTTATTTATATCCTGCCCTCCCCAGCCAAAGCCGGGTTCAGAGCGGGTAACAACAATAAAATAATACAACATTCTAAAATCATTTCATTATAAAATTAATTCAAATCAAATTAATGGCAACCATTGGGCTAGAGTTCTGTGAGGATTGCCAAAGGAGGGAGTCAGGCTGTGCCCTGGCCAAAGGCCTGGTGGAACAGCTCTGTCTTGCAGGCCCTGTGGAAAGTATGGCATACCCGCCAACATTTATCCAATTAAAATAGGGACATCAATTATTATTTTATTGTTATTATTACCCTGCCCATCTGACTGGCTTGTCCCAGCCACTCTGGGCACCTTGCACATTCCAACATATATAAAGACATGAAACATTAAAAAAAACTTCCCTTTACAGGGCTGCCTTCAGGTGTCTTCTAAAGGTTGCATCTCCTTGGCTCAGAGGTCGCATAACTCCCTACCCTCCAACATTTCTCCGATGAAAATAGAGGCATCCTAAGGAAAGCCAGACATTCTGGGATCAAATCAGAAACTGGGATGGCATCTGTAAATCTGGGACAGTCCCTGGAAAATAGGGACACTTGGAGGGTCTGGTATGCAGCCCCCAACAGATTATTCCCCACTGTAGCCCTTGAGAGAATAAAGGTCCCCCGCTCACAACCAAACTGGTAATCTACAGGAGTGACTCCCTGACCTGCAGGCTAAAGTGGCAAAATTAATAATGCGCTGTGGATTGCAAAAGTTTATCCAATATATGGAAATATGGAAATTTATATCTGTCTCCACAAAAGAGTAACCTTGAAACCAGCCCTTCATTGCCAAGAGCGCTGAGATGAACAGACTTCACAGAAGGGACTATTACTCCTAGTATGTCACCAGTGGCCAGATCTACTTATTTTGATTTATAGCTCATTTCCTTTGAAAGAACCAGGCTAGTTGACAGTAATTTGAAATTGGACATCCATTTCAGGTGTGTAGAAATAACGTTTCCTGGGCTGTACTGTTTCAGATTGGAGAGGCAGGATCACATGTTGGAATCCACCCTGCCAAACTAAGAAAAAATCAGTCTCTCTCTCTCTCTCTCTCTCTGCATTCCCCTTTCTCAGGCAGGAAAAATGATTCTTATGACTCTTGCACCCACACTTCAGTAACAAGTGGCAAGATGCAGCTATAGGTTTAAAATGGACATCAGTTGTTATACACTGCAAAGTTTAATGGATTTGCAAGGGGATGAAATAGTGCTGAGGTATTGGAGTTTGGACTATTCGATCATTTCTTCTTGAATCAAAACTTCTTTTCTGGACATACTCCCCTTGGTCCTTCAGCGATTAGCTCTCTAGCTATAGTCCCTCATAGCCCTCAGTTTGCTGTGCTGAGGAAGACCTGTCTGTGCCATACCTTCCATGCTGCAGAGGGAAATTGGGGCATGCATTTTTCAGGTCCGTGTTCCTGCATGAGTCACATGACTCATGTGAGAGCATGCCCCCCCCCACAACAGGCATCTTTTGGGGCTGTGCTCTCATGGGAGTCAAAAAAGGACATCCTGTATCCAATCAGAAGCATTCTAGACCCTCCATCTCCCAGAAACCAGTGAGCCTTAAAAGTAGGAGAGCAAAGAGCTTGAAGACAGAGGGCATTTAGCAGCACCCATAGTGGAGGCGATGATGACAACGAATGAGGAAATGGGAAAGAAGAAGGGGGTGGAGATTTACTTGGGACAATGCCATTATCCAAGAGGCTGGGTTCTATAGACTCTCTCTGTAAAGTTTGGAATAAAAAAGGACTGCAAGAAACTTTTCCTTGTCTTTATATTTTCCTGGGCAACCAGCCGGGAGCCACTGCCAGCATCCTGACACCTGTCAGGCAGATATCTGTTCTAGTCCTGTTACCTGAAACGCCATGGACTGTAACCAAAGAAGTCGCACCATTAACACAAGGAGTTCCACCTGCACCAGAGGATTTTCTCTCCCACATGCTCCCCAAGTGGTTGAGGGAACCCCCAGAAGAGATTCTGGGAGGCCCGTTGAAAAAGGAGGTGAACTCACATTGCACAGATTTAATTCCTTGCGCTAACAAGGTGACTTGGTGGGATACAATCCCATCACTGATCTGTGGTCTCTCCCAAGCAGTTCCAGCCATTAACTGAGCAGTAATAAACCAAATACATGTTATCAACTAGGTTCCCCTTCTCTTGCATGGATGTTGTTATTATGGAGACGACTAAACTGACACCTTGTTATTTCCCAATTATTTTCAGTCAGCTGCTTCCCTACCAACTTTATTAATCATTCTGTGGTTTGATCACATGGAGAGTAAACACAGTGATTGGCGTCACCCTACAAATGTCATGAGATTCATTATTGATCTTTATTTTATTTTAAAATATGAACTAGTATCTTTGGTGAAACTTCACATTTGCTACTTTCTCAGCACCTCCAGGCAATCAGAAGAAATAATGGGTGCAGTTTTTCCCCTTTATCTTCCTGAATTCACTTCTAATATGTTGAGAAATAATTGCAACAGTTAGCAAATACTAGGTCTGAGCAAAATCGGGGTGCTACTTTCTTTTTTCTTTTGTCAGTTTTGAAAATCAGTTTCTTTTTTAATTTTTTGCTTATTTATGTCTCTCTTTATCAAACATGTATGCATTTGAATGACACACATTTATTTATTTATCTATTTATTTACATTTGAATCCTGCATTTTCTTCAAGGAGCTCATGTGTTCCTCATTGTACATTTATGATAGACAAGATCTAAACATACATATGTGTGCCAGCCTATGATGTAAGTACATGTAAATGCATGTGATGGCTGTTCTGTTGGCTGTTTCTCCCTGCTGTTGTTTAGTTGTTTAGTCGTGTCCGACTCTTCATGACCCCATGGATCAGAGCACGCCAGGCACTCCTATCTTCCACTACCTCCCGCAGTTTGGTCAGACTCATGTTTGTAGCTTCGAGAACACTGTCCAACCAGTTTCTCCCTATGTGGATGCAAATGGTACCCAAAAAATGGTACCCTCAGAAGCAGAAGCATCTTAGCTGCCGCATTCAGCTACAAACACCAAAGGGTTGAACAAACACTGCCTTCCTTCAAATGTGAGAAGTTGGCAAGCACCCAAGAACATGTAAGGGTGTTTAAAAAAACAACAACAATCTGTTCTTGCAGAGCACATACCTGAGAATCTTCTTCTTTGGCGATCACTCGTAGCCGAGTAAGATTGTCTTCCATAAACACAGTCTTTACAGTGAGTCCGTAAGTGACTGTGGAGGCCAATTCTGGATCCACACGTCCTTCCACAGTGGGGACATAGGTTTCTGAGTGGGAGTTGGTCATAGTGAGGTTTTGCCAAGCATGCCTTCCTCTTAGCATGTTTCTCCTTTTTATCCTGAGTTTGAGTGTCTTCAAAGTCCATGACACCTTTGGTAAAGTCTGTTCTCCGATTGGAGCACTCACAGGCCAGTGTTTCCCAGTTGTCGGTGTTTATACAACATTTTTTTATATATTTGCCTTGAGAGAGCCTTTAAACCTCTTTTGTTGACCACCAGCATTACGCTTTCCATTTTTAAAGTTTGGGATAGAGTAATTGCTTTGAAAGATGATAATCAGGCATCCAAACAACATGACCACTCCAACGAAGTTGATGTTGAAGAATCATTGCTTTGACACTGGTGATCTTTGCTTCTTCTAGTACACTGGCATTAGTTCGCCTGTCTTCCCAAGTGATGTGTAAAAATTTTCAGAGACACCGTTGATGGAATCTTCCAAGAAACCAAAAAGGTATCAGGAGCATTATGGGAAATGCATTGCTCAAAAAGAACCTCAAGCTTGTAAATGTGAATTAATTATTTCATAAGGAGGTATGTGGAATTCAAACTTAGTGCATTTCAGTATGAACTGACCTGACCTGCACCCAGGTCTAATGTGCAAGCTGAAACTTATTAGGACTTAGCTATACAGCTGCAAATATAATGTTGTAAGTTTGTTTTAAGTGGATTATACAAATGTGACACTAGATGGCAAAGGTGAGCTCATGGCAAATTCAATATATTTTTCAAAATGCTTTTCTAAAAAAGCATGTCCACAGCATTTTTTTTATATGTGTCTAGATTCCACTTGAGTTATCCACCATAATCCACACTTGTCTGAATGCAGTGCTTTATTCTCAGCAGTCTAAAAACTGTTTATAAAATATCACTTTGACAGAAAACTCATTTAG